TATATATATGTACACACATACACTCAGTCTTTTTTTTCTTTATACTTTTTGGGCAGTTTCACTCTTCTAAAAGTCTCATATATCTCAAATACACAAAGGAATAGTGGGAAGTGGGGAACTGAAAAACTTAAAAACCATCATCACATAAGCAAGTTAAAACAAAAATTTCTGTGACTTAAAAAAAAAATCAATATACTTTTCATGCATTTTGTAAATCACTCTTATTTATTAGGGTTGGAGATGGTTTTGATCTTCCATACTTCAAAAAAATAAATAAATGAATCAGTTGATATGAGTGCATAAATTAGGACTAACCATGATTTTACAATGTAAGATGTAAATTATTAAATAAACTAAAACAAATACTTTGTGTGGCTAGGTCATTGTACCCACCAACTCCAGAAATGATTAAGAGCTGTAGCTTCAGCAGAGTGGGTGTGCGTCTTCAAGGAGGCGCACACACGTTTTTCTTAAAAACAAGAATAAATCACGCTAAACAGACTGTGAGAATAAATGACAGTAAGTATTAGCTGTCTCTCCACTGAGCTTCTCTTCAGTTGGATGGGCTCATACTCCACCCATCTGAAGTGCACTCCTAATTCTGCTCTGGAGCCTAGATGAGGTAACAGTGTAGCAGCAAATGAACCAGCACTCAACCAGCTGCAGATTCTGGTTGGAGTTCCCCTCCAGCTCTCAATAAAAAATCCAGAGCAGATCAAAGAGTATCATTACTAGCTGAAGTCCAAGACAAGACAGTTATACTGCCCTTCACATCCCTTTCAACTCAAAAGTCCCTCCCTAATTAGCGTGTTCCAGAAAGAGCGAGAAAGAACAACAACTTAAAACAAAAAACAAACAAACAAACCAGGCTTCTTAGCAACGTAAAGCTATTCAGGAATCAATAGCAATAGAGCAAAAGTCTTGCTCTTTTCTACCTTAAAACACCACTGCACAATCATGTTAGAGCCTGGTCTGTGCTTAGCTTACTTAGTAAGTCACAAATACATAACAGTGGCAGTACAAATGAAAAGTTTTATAATTTTCCTGCTATTTACATTTAGTGCCACCATGTTTGTTAACTCCAGGTTACTACTCTGACTTCGCAAGTGGCAAAAGCAAATCAAAGGGGGAGTTTGAGATTCAAACTTTGACTGGGAACTCAAACATTTAGGCTTATTCAGGAGCACATCATTAGTCTATCAAACTGGGGGATGGGTATCACAACAGTAGCCTGATGAACCTCTCAGGAGATGGTAGAAGACAGGAAGGGCTGGTGCTAGCGTGTTTGCTGTGACTGAACTTTCAGAATAAGAGTACGGGCATTACCCAACAGCATCATTAATTGGTGGATGGCAGTATACCAGGAAACCCACTCAAATAAATGTGTGTCGAAAATATAAACAGCTGAATTCAAAGTCATTTAAGAGCATTTGAGCTGTGGGCAATCTCTGAGGAAGAGATGTAAATATCAAATAATATTTCTGTTTGAAATGCCCATCCTTAACGCTACTATTAACAAAATCCAAATTTGCTCTTTATGTTGAGTATTTCTTTTTTTTTTTTAATGGCATCTATAACAACAAATGTCTCAAAACTGAACCCATTTAAAAAAATGTAATCACGTATGAAATGACTTTCTTGTTCCTTTAAGGCACAATTTATATGGAATCAAAGAGTCTTACCTGTAGAGGCGATAATAGCAAAGACCTCCTGGAGTGAGGGCAGCAGCGTGGCTGGGTCAGCCTTCCAGATGTTCTGTAGCAGCGCGCTAACTTTCGTCACCTGACCAACATACTCTCTCAGTTCCTGCTCTTGGCTAGAAAAGCAGTGGAAGGAACTGATGGTCCTCACCAGCTGCTGGCAGAACAGAATACCCGACTTATCTCTTGGGATGCACTGCACAAAGTCTGACAGCAAAGTGCTCAGGCGGGCACAGAAAGCGGGATCAGGTCGTTCACACACCATCCTTAAAACCTCCACCTGGATCACACTAAAAATCTCCAGCACCGATGGGCAGCTGATGAGCAACCGCAGGCAGCAGTGAATGTATTCTACTATGGCGGGGTCTTTGCGGTCCAGCTGGCCGTAGCCCTGCTGGAGCAGACTGAGGACGAAGTCTTTGCTGAAGAAACGCTCAAACTCTGGGCGGTGGTAGCGTGCATAGGCTTCAAGAACCTGGGAGCCAATTTGCTTCTGGAAGGCATCTTCACCGAGCAAGATGAGGCGGGTGGTGAGTGTGAATAGTGCCTGACACTGATCCTCTGTCACTTCTCTCTCAGCTGCTTCCACTACCTTCTTCACAATGGCCTTCTTCACTGGAACAGAGTGATTGGAGCTCACCAGGCCCTCCAAAATCTTGTCCATGATGTCGATCTGTAGAGGAAAATTGAAAAAGTAATTAGGTTTAAAAAAAAAAAAAAAAAAAAAAAAAAAGTCAGAAAACATCTGCAGTCACACTAAATGGTGCACTGAACATTTGTTCTGTCACAGTTTTTGTTTGTGATCACACACGTCACAGAAAACATTTTGACTTATGACTATAAAGCAAAGGTGTAAACAGTAGAATTATTAGATTAGAAATCACAATATCAGCGACACCGCTCATGTTGAGCAGTTTGGGAGACAAAATTAGAAATGCAAGGTTACAATTGGCCAGGCACAAACTCCAATGGGGCCCCCTGAATGGCTCTGGGAAGTGGGATTGAAGGCGTGCATTTTGGACATTTAACTGTATTTTTACAGGTTTTACAACTTTACACCAAAATAATTAAGTAATACTGTAGTTAACAATTAAATGACAGAACGGTTGCTTTTTCGCGATCTACATGACATCCCGTGACTTTTTCCGTAATTTTACAAATTTCTTAAAATTTACGCCCAAAGAGCGGCGCTGACAGATTTCTTTCATTTACTACCGTAGCATTTCTTTATCGTGTAGTAAAAACGAAAGACACTTATTTTAAGATATTGATGTAGATATCGATATAGCTGTTAAGATACCTCTCGAATTAAAAGGTGTAGTTGAACTTATTTACCTTAACGGGAAGGGGGGCATTTAAGGTGGTTTCAGTGGATCTGTCACTAAATATAACGCACGACTTTGCTATACATTTTTTTTTCAAGTTCAGCGTAATAAAACTAATTTAATGTAGTGTCCATCTGCCTTGAAGACTGCACATTACATTACTATGTGCTATTTCACACGTGTTTTGCCTATGATCTATGACTCCTGCCGCTCTGTGTTGCTGCTGCTGTGGGGGATACAAACAGATAGCCGACTAGCTTGCTAAAGCTAGTTGTAAAGTTAGCAGATATTTCTATATGTCTAGAAACTAAAGTACGGCTAGAATGAGCGTTAAAACTAAACCTGAGAAACAGTGCTGGCCTCTCCATAGCGGCAGGTTTACTAACAAACTGCCCCCAACAAAAATAAAATTAAAAGAATTTTTTTAAAAAAATTAGAAGAAGAAGAAAGAAACAGCCGAAGAGGCCTGCCGTTAGCCTACAAACTGACTTAGCATAAATGCCATCATGTAACTCAAATAATCCAACATGTGTGCTTACCCAAATAAAGCATGTCAACAGCGTCCGACCAGAGTAGCTTCTGCCGTCGGTCAGAGCTAAATGTCTTCAGAGAGATAAAACAGTTTTATGTGTATTTATTTTGGTTCATTTCCTCGCTCGGAAACAGCTGATTAACCGTACAGCGACGTCATTCCTATGGACAGAGACGGTGGTAGGACCCTTGGGGTGAAGCTATTTTTCTCTTAACTTTGCCTGTTCCGCTTTTGTTACATTTGTGTAACGGTCAGTCGTGTGGGTTTCCACGGATGGCGCTGCTGGCCGTTTGACACGCTTCCAGTTAAACGAAGCTGCGTTTCCGCGAGCATTTTCGAGAACCTTTATCCTTTTATTGTACACTTCGTGTGTTGCGTTCAACCACTACTCGTTCATCTGCCCTTTTTGGGATAACGCTACGATTTAAAAAAATCATGAAAAGATGGAAACCTCCCAGCTTCCACCTAACATCCAGATTGATCTGCATCTTGGAATTGTGATTATCAAAGACTTTATTTTCAAATTTTTGCATCCATCTGCACTTTCACACTGAATTAAGGAGATGTTGTTTGTTATACGAATGGAAGAGTTAGGCATGTGTAATTTAACAAGAGATAGGGGCATTTTCTTCTCGGCCCAGTAGGATATGTAATCTTGTTTGTACATCTTTGGGGTTTTTTTTGTTTTTTAGCGTTTTTTAATACTACTACTACTACTACTACTACTACTACTACTACTACTACTACTACTAATAATAATAATAATAATAGATTAAATGCCTTTCCGGTAAGGGTATTAACAGTTTGTTCTCCACCTCAGCTTCAATGTGTCCAGTTTACAGACAGTCCCTGAGCCTTAATGATTCTCCCAGCAGACTCCTGAGTACACTGTGCTTCCCATAGCAGAGTAACATAGAATTTCCATCATTTGGTGCACACATTGACTCCATTAGTAAATAGAGCCTGCTCATCCCCAGCCTCTGTGTTGGTCTTTCATTTCAGCCTGTTGTCCATGTTGACACCCAGGTACAGTGCATGTATGTCTGTGTAGCCATCTTCTTCCAAGGGACACCTCCCTGGTCTTTTTCACATACAGAAGCAAATGATTGCTCCCAGACCACTCCACAAAGGCATCCACTATAGTGCTCACTAGTCTTCCTACTGCCCATTACTAATACATCTACTCACTGCAGAACTGTCAGAGGATTTCTAAAGGTTCCATGACCTAGAATTGTACTGAAAGTCTGAGGTGTACAAAGTGAACAAGTGTGGAGACAGCACAGTCTCCTGTGGAGCTCCTGTACTGCACATCAACAAATCAGACTGAGCACTGCCCAGTCTTACATACCGCAGCCTCTCTGTCTCTCTGTCAAGCAGTCGGTAATCAATGAGATGGTTGATGTGTTTGCTGACATTTCCTGTAACTTTTCCCTCAGCAGCAGCAGCTGAGTTGTATGAAATGCACTTGATAAATCAAAGAAGCTTATCCTCACAGTGCAGCTCTTACTCTATAGATGGGGAGTAAGCTCTCTACAGCACATAGATGACTGCATCATCCACTCCCAGAAAACGTGTTACTTTAGGAAACACAAGTGGGACTGAAATATTACTTTACTATAATATTTCACCCTATCAATCACAAATATTGACTTGGCTATGTCTTTTCTCTAATCAGTGAAACCCATCAAACTTCCTAGAGGGGTGATGCTAGTGTCATTGGCTTCAGAAATGAGTTATAATATTAAAGCATGTAACTTTGGAAGTGCAAGGAACATATCAATGTATCCATATATATATGTCAGGTCTGGTTAAAAAAAATTTGAAAATGCATTATTTATTTTTGTTTTTAATAGTTTTTGTGTTAGTCTTTTTAATTATTCATTGCATGGAGGGCATATGTCAGATGCTAGATTCAGAACAATAAGTAAAGGTATTTCAATAAAAAAGAAAACTTTTAAAAGAAGGTGAGTCCCGGTCTTGCTGACATCCAGAGATTCAATAAGTAGCAAAACCATCAAGTTATAATAAAAGTGTTTTACTAAACCAGCAAATACTAAAACTAATCATATTAGCCTATACGTTGTTGCAGTTTAAAAATCGTTTCAGTTAAGTTTAATTTTTTAAAGGCTTTAGTTTAGATTTAGTTAACTATAGTAACCTTGGAGATGACTGGAAGCCGTCATATGAGCCATAACAAAAACAAATACTTTCGACAGTCTGCGAAGGCAGCATAATAAAATCTCGCGATAGCGCGCTCAGACCCGGTAACTATGTGAACGCGGGTGCGCGAGAAAAATCTTGCTAGCGCGAACGTGCTGCCTGCGACCAACCGGTGTGTCTTTCATTAAAAACAACAGGATTGTCCTTATTTACCTCGAGGAAGTTCCGAAAATTCCCAACGGCTCTTAAACGGGATCACACAAGTCACCTAATAACAAACGATATACCTGAACGGAAAAGGAAAATCGACAAAAATGTCCGAAAGCGCAAACTGCGTGGAACAGCGGGAAGAGCAGGCTGAAGTTGAAGACGCCGGAGGAGCGGAGGTAAGATGTTTCAAAATGGGAATTATGTCCTTTCGACGCTGACTTCGTTTCTCACAAAGCCGACACACATATGTATAACTCTGAAAAGGTCCATCTCTTGTTCAGGCATTTTTCGAAATCAACTGTGTGAAACTTTCAGTTTGTCAGTTAGCTAGCAGCGGCGCTACCATTAGCTCCCGAAGACAACAGCCAGATCCACCAGCGCAGCAGCGAGGCCAGCCGTTTTCATGAGCGCCCACTCTACTAGCTTAGCCCCGCTAGCTGCCTGTCTCGTATCGCTCCAGAAGTCCTTACTTGTTCTATGCTTGCTCTCAGACCTGGTTCACTCAGTGGGACGCTTATAACAGTGAGTCGGCTTTTAGAAAACCCCGTGAAAACAAATTGGGGGGGCAGAAGCAGTCCTCTCAGCTGTACCGTCTGCCCCTTTGTTTTCGGAGCAGACCGCGTAGCAATGGCTGTTGTGACCGGGGAAGGATGCTGCTTCGCTGGCTGCGTACAGCTCGGCCAAAAAATGATTTGAAACTTCTATCAATATAAAAATCCCACATAAAGAAAGCTGAAATTCCAAAACACCGTCCTTGCTTTGTATTGGAAGCATTTTCTCCACAAAAAGTCTTATCATTATCACCTCTTCTTCTTTTAATAGAGATTTAAATTCACAAATTTACTGGTACTTCTCAGCACGTCTGATAGCAGAGGGGTAAAAGAGACTGATTTATTCTGTGACGCAAATGTGCTATCAAAAGTACCTTCCCGTGACAGTATATGATTAGAAGAACTGACGGTATTTCAGTCAATACATGCCCTGTTTTCTGCAAATGTGAATACCGATGCACCTTGAAATTTTGGTTTGCCCTTTGGCTTGTTTTTGAGCCAGTGAGCTCATCTCTTCCTATCAGTTGTTGTTGTTGTTGTTGTTGTTGTTGTAAACATAAGGACGACATCCACTAAGACTGGTTTGTTTTCACCATACACTCCCTTAGGAGAAGTCTGACTCTTCAGATGCTGGAAAAGAGTCCTCTTCAGATGCAGGTGCTGATGGACAAGATGCCTCCTCCTCCTCATCTTCCTCCAAAACTAAAGACTCTACTCCAGGTTATGAGGAGAAAGTGGTAAGTCCTCTCTTCCATCATTACATGGCTCACCACTGTACTCCTGGGTCGGAAGATGAATGGGACTTTCTTTCTGTGTAATGCAGCAAACAGACCGGACCAACAGATTTGAGTATCTGCTGAAGCAAACAGAGCTGTTTGCTCATTTCATCCAACCAGCTGCACAGAAGACCCCCACCTCACCGCTCAAGATGAAACCGGGACGTCCTCGTATCAAGAAGGACGAGAAACAGAATTTGCTTTCAGCTGGAGAGTGAGTATCTATCCCTACAGAACAGTTTCTTTTCCTCCATTTAGAAAGTTTTCTCCCATTGTGATTTATAACGCTGTGTCTTTTATTATTTTTTTAAAAGCAACCGCCACCGTCGCACGGAACAAGAAGAGGATGAAGAGCTTCTTAACGAGAGCACAAAGACCACAAATGTGTGCACTCGCTTTGACGAGTCTCCCTCCTGTAAGTAAAGACCTGTTTTTATGGGGACTCAAAGCACACACTGAGCATGAGCAAATAACAAATATGTTATATATGTGGCTGATCCTGATACAGCCAATAAAGGAAGCACTGAAGCACATTGTCTTTGTACTTAGCAGAATTCAGCCAGCTCATCTGTGTCACTTCACTTAGTTAGGAGCCTTCCTAAGCAAATTTCACTTGACTTGCACTTGTTGATCTATTACTGCCCTAATAAGAGGCAGCAGAAGCACTCCCTCTAGTGGTGGGAGTTTTTATTAGGCAAAACAAAATTAAAACAATTCTTACAGAATTTTGTTTTCTTGTCTGTAATGTAGATGTGAAAACAGGGAAGATGAGGGACTATCAGGTCCGCGGTCTGAACTGGCTCATTTCTTTGTACGAGAATGGAATCAATGGTATCCTCGCCGATGAAATGGTCAGCACTTTTTCACGTTTCTACTTATTCATGGAGTTAAATTACAGATATTTTTATCGTGTCATAATGCTGTTTTTTTTTTTTTTTTTTTCATTCATGTTTTTTTTTTCTTATTGTCAGGGATTGGGTAAGACTCTCCAAACTATTGCACTGCTGGGTTATATGAAGCACTACAGAAACATCCCTGGTCCTCACATGGTGCTGGTTCCCAAGTCCACCCTCTACAACTGGATGAATGAGTTCAAGAGATGGGTGCCTTCCCTTCGTGCTGTCTGCCTGATCGGAGACAGAGATGAGCGGGTAAGCTGTGTCAAAAATGTATCAATGGTGTGAAAATCAAAGCATTTTTTCAGATGCTTTGGTTGTCCTTCACCAGTTCTATTTGGTGGACTCCATATTGGGTTTTTTTTTTGTTTTTTTTGTTTTTTTGACTCCCACAGGCA